GTCCCCCAGGATATAACAGGTTCTTCCCAATTAATAATTGAGGAAACATAACTAACAAGTTTTCTTAACTGAGAATAACCCATAAGACTCATGATATAATCAAGAAAAGATGTGTGTGGAGATATATCCTCAAAATCTTCTGTATGTTATATTTATAATGAAAGGAAACTGTTTCTCAAAGCCACCTTTGACCAAGTCATAAGATAAAATATATTATCTCTTGAAGATCAAGTCAAAATATAAGATAAGACCTAGTCTAAAGACTAAGTCAACAAGACTAATTCTAATTAAAAAAATTATTTAATAAAGTAGAATTAATTTAAAATATTTTTCTACTTAAATGAACATATTAACCTTTTTGAAATATCTCTAAAAAATACAACAATCCCCACATATTTCAAAAAGGTTAAAGAAAAATTCTTAAGAAAACTAAAGAATTTCATGGGTCCTCATTCTCTTGGATGTAATGCGTTGGACCTGGTGTAGCAAGCTATATGAACCAGACCTAGAGTGATAAGACTTAACACACAGTATAATTGGTATAGCAAGCTATATGAATCAAAGACACTTAGCGTATGTTAGAGGTCTACCAATCATATTACACCCCCACAATTCTTGTTGTTATCGTTGTTGTGCGCTAATAGGCCATGCGCATGCCCGATGAGTGCTCTAGAGATATCGCCAAAATCTCATACAAGCGGCCTCACCTGATACTCATATAGGTGATTTCATCAAGTAAATACTGCAAATCATACATTACCCATAAGGGATATGAAAATCATTAAAAGTTTTATAAGTTGTCAAGCTTTCGCATAACCTCATAAAGCTTAACTATAAAACTTATCCTTCACATTAATGCAGTTTTAATACTTTCTCACATCATAAGAAGAGACAAAAACTATTAAAATTGATTAAAATCAATTTAGTGTTAGCAGAACTGACAAGTGACTTGTTTTTACCCATATGAACCTTATTCATGGGATCTCCAATCACAAAGGTTGGGTTACCATCACTTGTTTGTTTACAAGTGGCTTAATAAAGTCTCATTCCCCTCGATGTTTAATATAACAATATCTTCCTTTGGAATTTAAGTGATAGGATCGGCCGAATCCATTATTAACTTCACATAATCGATAAATTCAATCATTTTATATAAGCAATTGCTTTACCACATTATGTTCAATGTTATATTCCCAATGGAATATTTACTAAGAAGTTTTTCAACCACTCAGCCTCATAATCAACCATATCAAGAGAAATAAACTCTAACTCAACAATTAATTAATTGGTTGATCTCAAAGTAATTGCACCACATTCAGGTGTAGTGACATAACCACGGATGGATTTTGTCTCAATTTGATCAAAGATCAAATAATAATCATCATTGTATTTCTAATACAATGGAAAATCCACCATGTTGAATACCATCAATTTATGATATCTTTCCAACATCTCATAGTATTAAAAAATATAGATAATTTCACATCTCATTATGTAATTAAAATATTTAATCAATTAATATACTAGATCAATACTAGCTATCTTCTCATAACGTGAAGTTTCTCTCTCACGTAATGTCATGTAGGCCAAACTCATATATAATCATGTATTACCTCGAAAGAAAATAACAAAAATACACTAGTCATCAAATCAAGTATATGATCACAAAAATATGA